ATATATTGTGATCTGAAGGAAATCTGAGAATTCCAATAATGGAGTGGCAACTTGATCGAGTTGCGAAAATACAAGAAATTCTCAACTCAGTTGTTGTTCTGCCTCAATATAGCTTCTTAATGAAAAGTATCGTATGACATAAGCACAAAAATTTCAGAAGATAATAAAAATAGTTAAGTTAATTATGGAAACTTGCTGTTTCTCTTCCAATTTGCATTAACATGCGATTTTTTGCGCTTAAAAATTCTTCTTGCTGTGTTCATGCTATTTCAAGTTTTAATGCCATAGTCATGAGCACAGAAAGAATTCTAAAAATTCACAGTCAATGACTTGTAAAAGTCAAGGATATTTAAGCTTAAATTTGCATTTTGTAAGAACTAAAACTTCTTTAGCTTTTGCGCTAGTGCTACTTAATATATTTTTGTTCTTTTCTTCTGTGAAACGATAGTCATCGTACTTAAAGTTATAGTCTGTCATTAAAAAAATGCGTAATTAAGAAAAGAGATAAGCGTAAGTGGTTTAGTGACCGTGTAAAATGAATATATAATCTATGGTAACGTTTACGTACTTAAATAGTATTTTTAAACCTCAATTTATTAATACAAATGGCTTGACAAATTTTTACATGTCACGATCGTTGATATTTTATCCAAATAAGCAGTTAATTACTGACTCCAAAGAAATAGTTCAATTTACAAGTTGAAATTGATTGGAAACGGATTTAAATGTAAGAGAGAAATGTGGACGGAAGTGGCCACAAAATTTGATTTTGGGAGGTTTAATAAAGTTTAATTGTGGTTTTGGATCGCGATGGCAATTTGGTGGAAATGGCAAGTGGCAAGACTAAATTAAAGTATAGTCCTATGCCTCAGTGCTAAGTATTAAACTGTTAAAAATGAACAAAAGTCAATTGATCAGCTCTACAATCTTGCTAATTGCAATCTTAATAGACTATATTAAATAATCTTAACTTAGAATTATATACCCAAAGGAAAAATCTAATATTTAATTTTAGATTTGTATAAAAAAATCTAATATAAAATTTTTGTTTTGTAACCCCAAGGATTGTTTTAGATTTCTAAAAGAATTTTTTTGATTTTCTTAAAGAAAATTTTATAATCAAAAATTTTATTTTTAATTCATACTTTAAAAAAATAAATGTTTTTCTTTTAAACCCAAAAACCAACATTAATTTTTTAAATTTAAAAATAAAATTCTAGAATCTTAAGTTAAGATTTTTGAATTTTAAAATAATAATTTTTGATTTTTTAAATTAATTTTTAAATTAAAAGCAAATTAAGTTGATGAAATGACAGAACTCATAAAAACCTAAAGCACGAATGCTTGTGAGGCAGAGGAAATTTCATTCATGTGAAAGGTATTATTACAAATATTACAAATATCTTAAGTTTGTATGGAAATTTAAGATAATAATAATAACAATTTAAGTTGGACTTGATGCCATGATTTCTGGGAATTTTTGTTTTTCTTCAAATATTATTGTTTTCAAAATTCAAAAAGAAAAACTTTTAAATCTAAAATTTTTTCTTTAAGTTGCAAAAATTTTTCGAAATCAAAAATTTTACATTAAAATCAAAAGTTTTATTTTGGAATGAAAATCTAAAAATTTGCACTTTAGATTTTTAAAATGAGTATTGTTAATTTCAAAACTTTATTTTAAAATTCAGAAAAAAATTTAAAAATTTTACTTTAGATTTAAAAATTTCAATTAGAATTGACAAATTTTAAAATCTAAAGTTGAAGTTTTTGAATTTTTTTCCTGAGTGTAGTCAAGATTTATCTTAATTCTTAAGAATATCCGAATGTTTTTCTATCAACCTTTAATTTTGGAAATCTCACATATTTGTGGAATTCTACCATCCACAAAGTTCATGTTGCGAAAATACCTAACCTTTTTGTGCTTTAAATGAATTCCAAGTGTCAATCCATAATGATATAAACACCTTATAACATACAAGTGAGTCTCATGTATTCATATGCAAATTAACTTGCTCATTTTTCATTCGATCTGCGTCTCACTTTTATAATATTTTTGGAACTGAGGAAAAAAGGTGTTCTTACAAAAATTTCTCGAAAGCTTCACGTTGAGTCTTTCAATAATTTAAGTATTTTCGCATATTTTTAAGCTGAAATCATACTCAATATATTTAAAGAAGAATCCAGCCGAGAACAACAATGTGTGAGGTATAATAATAATTATTTGTTGCTTAAAAATAGAAAAAGAATTTGCTTGGTACCGTTGTGCTTATTTTGTACTAGCTATAGTCATTAATTTTGAAGTATGAATGTGCTTCTGCAGTTTGCCATAAAATTTCTTTGATTTTTTTGCCATAAAAAACTATTTGTTGTATGCTTGAAGACTTTCGAGTAACTAATTGACCAGAAAATTGAAGAAAACTTGTTATGGAAACCTCACACACTCACCCGAAATAATTTACATCTCACAGGGTGTCACACCGAGATAGAATTAGAAAATGTTTACATGTAAATCTTAAATGCATGCTTTGTTAATGACAGCGGTAATAAATTAGTTTAATATGATGGCAGTCAATGGAATTTACTTCCAATTTGAGACATTCTCTAACATGCATTAATCTATTTTCATAAATTAGCAAGTTTAATTAACCTAGAAAATTTTAATATTCAATGGAAGTGTGTATTGGTTGACTTCGTCATTTTGGTATTATAGGCGGCTCATAATTGTATTTTAGAGCTGAACTTGTGGGTTTTCTAGGTCACTTTGGGTGATTTCTCTGGTTTGATTTAATTACAAGTTTAAATACAATTCTGTTTGTTGATGTATTAGCTTTAATTTGTTCACATTTGCAGATAATATCGCAGTTTTTGAGTGATTTTATGTTGTGAATTGCTAGTTTTAACCAGGGACCAAAATGAATGAAAAAAATCTGTGATGAAAAACATCATTTTTTTTGATGATGAAAAAAATTATGATTTTTTTCATTTTCGTAAATTATTACGTAAAATTTCATCACGTAAGAATCATTTTTACGTAGGATTTCATGACGTAAAGCAAAAAATGGAATAAAATCACACCAAATGAATTAATAACGTTAAATAATAAGAACAAGAGATAAGAACAAGAATAGATTAGTTTTGCTTAAAAAACTTGTAAAGAAACATTTTATGCGTCATTTTTTGCTTTAAGTGATGAAATTCCTACGTAAAAATGATTCTTACGTGATGAAATTCCTACGTAAAAATGATTCTTACGTGATGAACTTCACGTAAATGAAATAAATTATAATGTTATTCATCATCAAAAATAATGATGTTTTTCATCACAGATTTTTTTCATTCATTTTGGTCCCTGGTTTTAACTACAGTGTCTCTTTAAATCTAAGAGATTTAAGTACTTTGAATCAAGATTTATTAAACACAATCCTTACTCCTCAAGTTTTTTGCGGAAGACTGAAAATTTAATAAACAAGGTGTAAAAAACTTCGTTAAAATTAATATTATTTGAGTTTAAAATGACTGTTGGAGACAAAATGTTTACTAAAAGCTAGTTTCATGCATCCATGCTACTTATAAATGTTTGTGACTTTGAAACTATGCAACAAATTATTTTCAAGTTCAACAGATGAAGGAAAAAAGCTCAATCGAAAAGTAATAATGTGAATTAATTTTAATTCTACAACTTTCCTTTATCTTATTAATTGCCCAGGCATTAGCATATCACAGTAACCTCAGCGGTCGGTCGATGTAATGTGAACTAAATTATACATATGTTTATTGTAAGTGCTTAATGAAATGTACAATTAGCACTAAAAGTACCGCAACAACCAAAAAAAAAAAAAAAATCCATTCAAAGTATGTAGATCAATTGAAAATAAACAGGTGAAATGCAATGATATTTCACTTTCGAAAAACTTTATATTAGTGTATGAACAAAAAGAATGTTATATTGGAATGTTGGGCTTAATAACTTGAAATTGTTGTCTACCAAGTCTCATTGTGAATATTATTATGTATACATAATGGCTGGAAACACATTACAATGTTTTATGAATAAACAAAAAGAAACCAGAATGAAACTGAAAGAAGTAAGCAAAAAAAAACTATATATATAAAGTTATGAAGAGAGTGAGAAGGAGAGAGATAAAATTATGAAAATTAACCGTTAATCTCTGGCCTGAAGTGGACTCATTCAGAGAAGTGAAAAAATTTCTTGTATGCTATTTTTTTCCATCAACAATCTTTGATGGCAGCCACGTGAAGCACGTTCCAAAAATTTATAATTTGCTTAACATCATCACATTCATTCTTTTTTATGTCATCGTGTGAAAATATTTCTTTTTTTTTCTGCTGCGCCTTTGTATGTACAAAATAATACTATGGAATGTTTAATGAAAATCGCATAAATATGTAAATAATGTATTGACATTACTCAAAACATGAAAGCTTACTAACGATCTCTGACACTTTTATGTCCTTTATTCCACTTTATAACTTGTTTTATTAGTATTTTTTTTAAATTATGGATTTTTCTGAGAAGTTTTTGATTTTAATGAGCAATTTTGTTTGGATTTATGACTGTTCTTGAAAGTTTGAAGTTTGAAGTTCAACAATTTGATTTTAACTTTCAAAATTAGAATTTTTACATTCGAAAATTGAATTTTTAACTTTCGTAATTAAAATTTTGTTGTTTAAATATTCAACTTTCAAATTTTCATTTCCGACCACAAAAATAAATTTACATAAATCAAAACAAATGCTAATCAAATTGTGTTTATTAAATTATCAAAAGAAACGAAAATCAATTCAGCATCACATGCACAACTCTTGTCATTATTATTTCCATATATTAGAAAGAAATCGAATTTCATTGCGCATCTTCTTTTTGTTAAAATGTCTATTGTAATAACGGTAAATTTCTATTCACATTTATTATTAATAATCAATGTAATAGTTTCATTTTCATTAACAATTTTTACTTCTTTTGTCTTTGAATCGAATAGTGTATGCTAGTAGCGCAGATTTGGATGTCACTGATGACGGTGAAAGCTCTTTATATAATGGAGATGAGAATCACAAAATTTGGACAGGTTCACATGAGCAATTAAATGGGATTAATGGACATCAGAATGGAGAGAATCATTATGACTTTTATTCAAATGGAACTAATGGAACATCAACTTTAGGTCGACCAAGTCGTCAAAGACAAATTACAGCACCAATTCCTGTACCGCCACCACCAAAAGAAGAATTAATAAAGAAAAAGAAGGAAAGTAAAAAGTCATCATCAAAATCAGTTGGAAGTCAAAGTTTATCAGGAACTCTTATAAGACCGAGACCAATTCATCCTGTTGGACGAGGTCCACCACCTCATCCGCCACCTCATATGATGTATGGTCCACCAAATCATCATATTATGGGAAATCCAATGGCTCCAATGATGCCAATGCCACATCCACAAATGAATGGACGATTTCATACAATCGGGCATCACCGAGGAAATCCTCCACCACATCAAATGATGCAAGTTCCACATCAAATGCAACTTATGCTTCCACCTCAATATGCAACAATTCAGTCAATGAAAGGCAAGAAGAAGAGTAAAAAAGACAAAATGATTCCAGTTGCCATGCCAATGGTGCCTCCAATGTTTTATCCACCACCCTCAGCAACAAATCCAAATATGATGCATAGAGCTGAATCACCACAAGCACTCAGTAGTCGAAGTAGAAAATTAGCACAATCAACAGCTGCACTCGATGATTCTGGAAATTCAGGTGCAGAATCGCCTTGCGGTACAGGAATTTACAGACGAAAGGGTCATTTGAATGAACGTGCTTTTAGTTACTCTATACGTCAAGAGCACCGATCACGTAGTCATGGATCGTTGGCCAGTCTTACATTTAGCCCACCTGATATGAAGAAAGAACGTGAAATTATCCAAATGGTATCAGCATTGGATATAAATGATGACTCAACATTAAGACGTAATCGTGAAATGTCAGCTGGTTCAACAGGCACATTTGGAAAGCCACGAAGATAGACATCATTATTTTTATTATTTAAAAGTATTAATTTGAAGGGATTCTCGTGGGATAATAATCCAGATTTGCTTAAGCGTCCTAAGCTCAAAGGCGAGCACTTTAAAGTGTTAATTTTGTACGGAAGAGAAACAATTTTTTTCAGTGTCAAAATTCTTTTTGAATGAATAGCCATAATGACTATTCCAAATCTAAATTTTATGTCTAGAGTTCATAGACATCACATTATGGATATGTGTAATAAAATAATAAAAAAATGAATGAAAGCAAGAAATTGGGTAAAAAGATAAGTAAACTACTTATTGAATAATATAAAGTTACTGCCTACTTTAGTGGCATCTTCGAAGTTATAAAAATATGTTTAATTTTGTACCATAAAAAATACATTGAAGCGCGCTATCATTTTAGTCTGAATAAGCATTGATGGGTTGAGGTTAAAAAACGGAATTAAAATTTTTTTTATGTGAATTGACATAAAATGATCCATCAGCTTAATTATTGTTGTTTTAAGAGTTGAAGATTTACACACATGATTAATTGATTGTTACAATTAATTAGTAGATTGACACATTTTATGATATTTTGTAAAAATGTTTATACTTTATACTATTTTTATCGTTAATTCCTTTTTTGTTCAGTTAGTTTCTCATCTTCTAATTTTGGAAGGTTTGGTTTCATTTAACGGAAAATTTTAATTTTACCGGAAGAATTTCAATTTAAATTTTAATGAAAAAAAAATAGATTTTGAATTTGAAAGTTTTGCAAAAATTTCATTATATTCCGTTAATTTTTCGTTCAACACTTTTTTTTAAATTTAAAAAGTCCGTTGAATTTCAAATCATTTAATTTTCAATTTAAGATGAAATCAAAGCTTGAAGCTTATTGATGGCAATAAAGCTGACAATAATGTCAAATCTTCCATAATCAACATTGTAAAGTCTAATAATTTTTTAAATATCCTATTTTATCATTTAAATCCATATCAGTCCAAATATATGTTAATTTTATCTAATTTTTGGGTAAATTAGTTGTCACATTTATGAAATATTGCCTGCGGCTCGAATTACTTAATTCACTTGAAATATTGTTATATAATCAAAATCAGATGTATAAGAAATATTGTTAAAATCAATAAAATTGTAGATTTATCGCAAAGAAATTAATTAATGTAAAAAAAATATGGACGAAAATGAAGAATAAGAAGTGGTTAAACAAGTTTATGTGCCTTATTAGTGAAACAAGAATAATGAAAAATTATTGATAAAAAAAAAGTATGAAATTTATAAGAAAAAGTGACATAACCTTAAATTAATTCTAAAGTTTATTGTTGCATAAAATCATAATATTGGGTTTTATTGATTAACAAATGGAAGTGAAAAATTATGTTATGAAATTAAAAAAAAAAAAAAATAAAAATGTTGCAAATAAATCCAATTTTGTAAAATGAAATGCAAAAATATATGTTACAATTCATACAATTTAGACAAGCTTCTTTTTTTGACAAACAATCATTACATGCTTTCAGCTTTCTACTGTCGGGATCCTTCATAAATGATGTTCGATTAAAGAATGATTTTTTAGAACCCCCAACCCCTTGCCGCTCACAATTTTTAATTTCAGTTCCCCATGATTTCTCAAAAAAAAAAAAATTGGACATAATTTATGATCGATCCTATCCATGGAAGTCCATTGAATCAAATTCCAATGAAGTAATTTTACTTTTTCAAATGGATAATTGGCTTTTCTTAAGTCTCACATGATTAAACATACTGACTGAATGAGTTTGACATTTGCCACACACGCATGCAATGTATTCTGTTGTCTTTAATGCTTGAGAAGACATCATCATAATAATTATTATTATGAAATAAGACAAAATCCTATAATGATAATGATGATTTTCTAGAGAATTTCGCATTCACTGTCAATAATCATTGGGACTAGCTTCAAAATCACACATCTTTTTATCTTGAGGCCCGTTTTTATCTCCTCCATAAAGCTATTGGAATAGTTCTGAGAAATGTTCCAGGAAGGAAAATTATTGAAAAGATAGTTCTTAAAGAAATAAAATATTTCCCTTTGTATGAAAAGTACGCAAAATATTAGATATTGAACGGGAATCAAACCTACGTCCTTAGAATTTTCAGTCGCTTTATCTTGCTAAAAAGCTATTATGAATATGTTCGTTAAGAAGCTTGACAGAATACCTACTTAAACTGATAATCAAGTGCTGGTTCCTGGATTTATTTGAGGCACCTAATCAAGCCTTACAAACATAAACAAAACTCAAGGACATAACAAAAAAATCTTTAATTGGCATAAAGTCCCCATAGCAGTAGCCCTAGAAACGTATTCTTTCCAGTATCTTTCATATTATTGTATATACAGCTTAACTTTGGAAACCTCCAGCAATTTGTCAGACATAACACTCGATCCAAGTCATTACAGCATTATTTTCAACATTTTGACATTTATAGGATTTTCAGACCTAAAATTATTTTGAAGATGTCTACAACAAACTCTTCAAGCGGTATTAATCATACGTTTAAGATGTATACGAATAATGTCAAATAATATAACAAGTCAACGAACATATGAATGAAAAAAGACGTGTTTAATTTACAGTAAAATTATCATTCGAATGGAAAGCAGTAACGAAGAAATGAAGAGAAAATGCGGCAATGATGATGATGGTCAATACCGTTACTAATAAACAACATTTGAACATGACGATAATATGTGTCTTTGTGTATTGGACATCTTGTAAATGTATATTTTGCATACCACAGCGGTTTACATTTTTTAATCAGGAAGTAGATGCTCACAGTGAGTAGCAATCATGTGTACAACTAGATAATGAGTCTGGTAACAAGACAAGGACGATTGTATTCATTAAGTATTAGGTTTTGAATTGAAGTGGTATTTTGGATATTCAGCTTAGCTTTTGGTAATCGCTATAATAATCTGTAATTTTTGGAACAAAGGTTCGATTCCTTAAAAAAAGGTTGTTTTCACAATCACTAAATTGCAGATTTCAACGACGACTTGGTAACTTTCAAGGCCATAGAACTCCCTGCACTATGTCTGCAATCACTAAGTTTTTACTCATCTTTACAAATTTTTACTTATGTTTCAGTACACTTACTATACAATGTATCACAATCACTGCAATTACTAAACTTTACTGCACTTAACTTTTTTTTACTACTCTTTACTGTACTTAAGTATACTAACCTACACTTTACTTCACTTTACTATATTTTAGTATACTCTACCACACTAAGCTTAAATTTACCACACTTTAGTGCACTTTACTTCTACTTTTCTATACTTTATTTTTAATCAAATTAATTAGTGCATAATTTCAATCTAAATAGTTAAAGGTCTCTTAAACATGTGGTCCATTAATACGTTATACTCATACTTTCAAAAAAAAAAAAAAAATAAAAGATTTTGAAACCTTTTAAAAAATTTAAAAGAAAATGTTTAAAAACTTAACAAGAGGTTATAGAATTTAAAATATTATTTTTTTATTTATTTATTATTCTATCATTTTAAACCAAATTTAGCTGATGGAAAAGAAAGAACTTACAAAAACAAAAAGCACTAATGCTACTAAAGCAGAAATAATTTTATTCATAACAAAGAAATTTCTAATTAATACCTTAAGTTTGTAAGGAAATTTGTCAAAAAAAAAATAAAAGTATAGTATAGAAAAATTGAAAAATTTAAAAAAAAAAACCTAAAATGTTGTAGGGTAAACCATGTTGAAATTTGTGCAATGTTAAAATTTGTGCGATCAAATGAAATGTAAATCATCTAAACTAAACCATTTATAGAAATAGTTTGTATGCAGTTCTTTGTAAAGCAGTTATTAAAACTTTTCTACTTCATTTTGGATTGTGTTGAAGGTTCTTATAGCTTTAAATTTCAATTATTCAAAATCCTATACAAAATGAAAGTTTTCATCTTTTTAATTATTTGGACTCAACTAATGATTCTTCTTACCCTATCAGAGTTGAAAAACAAATTTTCTTTATTGCTTTTTCGATTAAAAAAGTTTTTGCGTACGAAAAGTCATTGGAAGTCCTTCAAAAATTGATTTTAAAATGAGATGTTTTCAAATGTTGAAATTTGTGCGAAATTTGTTGACAAATTTTGAAATTTGCGTTTTTTTTCGTAGAAAGCAATGGCACATTTTGTCAACAAAAATAATTATTTACAATCAAAATCGGGTTTTTAAAGGCATGAATCAAGATTAAGACAAAAATAACACGAAGAAGACATGAACTGAGAGTAATGAAAAATGTGTTCGACTTAAATATTCATACAGAATCAAGAAATTTCAAAAATGCAACCAACTTCAAAAAATATTACAAGAACAAAAACTTTTTTTAAACTTCGTTAAAATACTCTTCTTTCTTTTATTTCTCAAAACAATTTCTTTAAACTTTATCGTGAATTAATTTTGGAAAAAGACATTTGTAGGATGTGCTTGGTTTTAATGGTGTCTTCTCGTCATACTCAGTCAACATAAATGATTTACATAATGATAAATAAATTCGGAAATCTTGAAAAAAGTTCATTAATGCAGCACTGTCCTTTAAAATTGAAATGGAGTTTATTTGGAAGTGTTTCTTAAAAGCAATCACCATTTAAAACCCTCGAAAATGCGTAAAAATATTGTTTGTTTACATTTCTGAATTGAAATGTGTCAATGCTTGCTGTCAAAAAAAACGCACAAATTTCAACATTTTTTTTCACAAATTTTAAAAAATTTCGCACAAATTTCAACATTTGACCAAAAATGTCAAATTTCTCTTCTTATAAGCAGCATAACCATCACTGAGTATAAAAAAAATGAAAATTCCAACAATTTTTGATAATTTAAGAACAACAGTAAATTTTTACAGTAAGGCATTGAAAATTTATAAGCAAATGAAATCTTCAAGTGCAAAAACACACAAATTTCAACATGGTTTACCCTACTTTTGTTTTTAAAAATTAGTATTTTTAATTGAAAACTTTATGTTAAAATTCAGAAGAAATGTTTTTTAAAAATTATTAAAAAATTATGAAAAGTTTTGCTTTAGCTTTAAGAATGTCTTCTCGAATTGACTCGAATTTGATTTTTTTACGCAACCTTACATTAAAAAACTAATAAGGACAATTTGTATTAAGTTTAAATATTTAAAAAAGCTATAAAAACAAGCTTGATATAAATTAGTTTCAATTTAT